TGCTGCTGCTGTTGCTGCTGTCTGTCTCCCTGGTTCTGAGCATAAGACTGGGGAGGAAAGGCGGGGAGAGCGACCTGAGGCAGCAGAACCAGCAGCAAGCAGCAGCAGCAGCAGCAGCAGCAATTAGCAGAGGCAGCAGGAGTTAGCAGCTGCTGCTGCAGCACCCCAGCAGCTACACAGCAGCTGCAGCAGCAACAGCAGCAACAAGAGGAGAACCTCGCCAGCAGCAACACAGTACAGAGAAAGACGGCGGCAGAACAAACAGCACCACGAGCCGCAGCAGCAAGAGCAGCAGCAGCAGCAGCAAGTGAACTACTGTCAGCAGCAAAAACATTAGAAGCACCTAAACCACCAGAACACAGCACCAGAAGCGTAGGCAGCAACAACAGCAGCAACACCATAAGCAGCAGCAGCAGCAGCAGCACCAACAGCAACAACAACACCTGCAGCAATACCAACACCACGAACAACATCAACACCAGCAGCAGCACCACCAGCAGCAGCACCAGCGGCAACAGCAGCAGCACCAGCGGCAGCAGCACCAGCGGCAGCAGCAGCAGCAGCAGCAGCAGCAGCAGCAAACCTCTGGACATGTGCTGAGCAGCTGAGGTACAATGTGAGAGAAGTCGCCGTCAAGGAGCCTGAAGGCCCGCGAAAGAATAACAGATTTCCCCCTAGCAGCAAACAGACAAAATACACACTCTGCTGCTGCTGCTGTTGCTGCTGCTGCTGCTGTTGCTGCAGCAGCTGCTGCTGCTGGTGTTGTTGTTGCTGCTGTTGCTGCTGGTGTTGCTGCAGCAGCTGCTGCTGCTGTTTTTGTCGCTCTTGCTGCTGTAGATGCTCCTAAACGTGCTGGTGCTGTTGCTTCTACTGCTGTTGCTGCTGTTGTTGCTGCTGCTGCTGCTGCTGCTGCTTGCTGCTGCTGCTGCTTGCTGCTGCTGCTGCTTGCTGCTGCTGCTGCTTGCTGGAGCTACGCTGATATGCACTGATAAAGCGGCATTAAAAAGAAGGGGCCAGAAGGCAGAAGCAAAGACAAGAAAAAACAAAGACACAGCAGCAAAAGAAACAAAAAAACAAACAAAGACAAAACGAGAGAAACAAACAAAAACAAAGACACAGGAAAAAGTATACAAGGAGAGAGAAGCAAGCAAAGACAAACAGAAAAAAACAAAGACAAATAGAAAGAGATAATAAAAGCAAAGACAAGAAGAAAGAGAAAGAAGCAAAGACAAGTAGAAAGAAACAAAGACAAGGAAAAAGAAACAAAAACAAGGGAAAAGAGACAAAGACAAATAGAAAGAAACAAAGACAAGGAGAAAGAAACAAAGACAAGGAGAAAGAGAAAAAAAGCAAAGACAAGGAGAAAAAAACAAAGACAAGGAAAAAGAAACAAAGACAAGGAGAAAGAGAAAAACGCAAAGACAAGGATAAAAAAAGAAAGACAATGAGAAAAAAGCAAAGACAAGGAGAAAAAAGCAAAGACAAACGTACTTGGGTGTCAGCGCGAGATTGAGTCGTTCAAAGAGCAGCAGTCTGCCCCTCAGTTGATTTGCTGCTAAAGACATACGCGCCTCAACAGCCTGTGGGGTTTCTTGCTGCTGCTGCTGCTGCTGCTGCTGCTGCTCTGGCGGCAGCGGGGGAGGCTGGGCTGAAGCAATGCGACAGAAAAGCTGCCCGTCCGTTACTTGCAGCCTGCACAATATACACATGCATACAACTCCTGCTGCTGCTGCTGCTGCTGCTGCTGTTGCTGCTGTTGCTGCTGTTGGTGCTGCTGCTGCTGCTGCTGCTGATGATGATGATGCTGATGCTGACGCTGCTGCTGCTGTTGTTCCTGTTGCTGTTGTCGCTAGCATTGCTGCTGCTGCTGCTGGGTCCGCTGTTTTTGTTGCTGTTTGTGGTGCTGCTGCTACGGGTATGGTGCTGCTGCTGCTGCTGCTGCTGCTGCTGCTGCTAGAGGTGGCATCTGCATGTGTTTAGTGTTAGGGTTTAGAATGTAGGGTTTGTGGTGTTACATACACAGTTTTGTTTCGCGTGAAGGACCCCAAGACACAGAGCATCACCGGCTCAGCAGGATATATGAGTTGCTGCAGCTGCTGCGGTGTAGGCGGGGGGCCGTGCATGCTCTTTGCATGCAGGCTGAATGCAGCTGAGCTTAGATTAGATAGAAAGCGAGCTGTTGCTGCAGCAGGAAAGCCGACGGGGGGGGCTGGGAGAACAGCACCAGGTTGCGGCTGCTGCTGCTGCTGCTGCTGCTGCTGCTGTTGCTGCGGCGGCGGCTGCAGTGATGGCTGTTGCTGCAGCTGCTGCTGCTGCGGTGGCATAGTCTGGGGCTGCTGCTGCTGCTGCTGCTGCTGTGGATGGAACTGAGCTGGAGCTTGGTGCTGCCCGTAGGGAACGGGAGCACACTGCTGGGGGGGCTGATGTTGCTGCATGTTGGGCGGCTGCATCTTGGCTGCTGCTGCCGCTGCTGCTGCTGCTGTTGCTGCTGTTGCTGTTGCTGTTGTTGTAGCTGTTTTTGTTGCTGCTGGTTTGTGTTCGGGGGATAATACTGCTCGTGGCGCTGTTGTTGCTGCTGCTGCTGCTTGTGCTGCTGCTGCTTTTGCTGCTGCTTTTGCTGCTGCTTCTGCCGCAGGCGGGCTCCGAGAGCAGCTCCAGGAACATCGCTGGTAAACCCCCACGCTAAACCCTAAACCCTAAACCCTAAACCCTAAGCCATAGACCCTAAACCCTTCAGCCCGACTGAAGGGGGGATCTGGAGGGCTAGGGTTTAGGGTTTGTGAGGCTGCTGCTGACGTTTTTTTTCTCTTGATAGAAGACAATGGGGCCCCACGGGCTGCAGCAGTGTCGTTGCTGCAGCAGGTGCAGCAGCAGCTGTAGCAGCAAAAAAAATGTTAATAGAGTAAATGCTGCAGGAAGAGCAGACAGACGAAGAAGAGGATAAACAAATTCACACGAGACACCACAACAAGGGCCAGCACACGCCGAGAGGGTTTAGGGTTTAGGAATTAGGGTTTACGCCGTAGGGGTTTTGCCTTGAGGGTTTGTCGATTAGGGTTTAGGGTTTAGAATTTAGAAAGAAGAGACAAAATTCACGAAGGCAAACAAACCAGCAGACGATGAAGACGAACTCCAGTGGGGCCTTGGGGCTGTGTTGAGATGGGGGGGTGGTACAGCAGGGGGGTTTAAGGTTTAGGCTGAAGGCTTGGCTGCGGCCGTATATATATATATATATATATATATATATATATATAGTTTAATGTTTATCATCAGTTCTATAATATTTCAATGACTTCATTCTCCCCTCGCCTTCACAGCCAGAGCAGGACTCTGAGTAGTGTTGTCTGTCTCCAGCTTACACAGGAACATTCACTTAGTCTCTTTAGCCTGACTACAAGCAAACACAAGTGCTCAGCAGGTCTCTACAGAGATAATGCATGCAGCGAAGGAAGCTTGGCTTTGCCTGCGGCAGTTGCAGCAAGCTGCGGGGCCCCCCAGCAAAGGCCCCTTTCTCTACAGCAACCCCAGCCCCTGACCCGCTGTGCCCAGAACGCCTGGGGTTACGGGTGGGGGAGCAGCTTAAGTGTTTGTAAGAAACTCTTACCGTAGGTGTAGTGTAGCGTGGTCTGCATTTCACCTGGTCTTGGTAGGTTGCCTGCAACTGAATACAAACGCCCAGTAAGTGTATACAGAGGTACAGCATGCAGCAAACGAAGCTTCGTTGAAGATTCCTTGTCTGTACACGTGAGGCTTGCATGCATCACGAGCCGCATCGAGGTGCACTGCAGCCCCATTTAGGCTGCTTCCTCCCCGCAGCACGCAGGCCCTGAGCTCAACGCCCAGTACGCCTGGGGAGAGGCGAAGAAGGCCAACCCTAACTTCCAGTTTTTACCTTCATTGCAGCTCGCTTCTGTCAAAGCTAGCCTTATAGTAAGCCGTTTTGTTTCATTGCAGCTCTCTATCACCGAATCAGGCCGATATTCTCTCTTTTTGTGTCGAGTTGGTCTGTGAATTCCTACTTGCGTTTAGGCTGGCTACTAGGGGTCAATTCAGTGCTCAACAATGGTCTATATCCTTAATGAATGCAGCAAAGGGGCTTGGTTGCGCATGCACGAAACACTGTGTAGCAGCACCAGTTGGAGGGGCGTGCGTTGCAACTCCTCTCTTGCCGCCTCCTCCCCCTGGGCTCAAGATCCTTAGGCCGCCGGTCCCAGGCTGCCTGGTGAGGAACAACTGCCCTTCGAAAACTCTTATCACAAGCATTCAACCTTTTTGTATCTCGTGACTTCCTCGGATAAGACAGAGGATTCTCGTTGCAGACGACAACCACAAGACTGTGAGAAACTCTCCTTCAGAAGGGTGAGTTTGCGGCCTTAGGGTTCATATGGCCCTCGGAACATGATCCTACTCACGTCAGTAGATGCACCAGTCACTGCCAACAGCTCTGCGTCTTGTGACCCCAACGGCAACACACACGCACGTGAAAAACTCAACTGTGAGGCATAGTAGGGATCCATGTTCCCTCACACGATTTGGTGATGCGAATCCATAACACTACAGGTACTGCTGGCCCAGTAAGCTGATGAGATGTAAGGAGAGCCCTGAGTCCTTCACATGCTATGCTGAGATCTGTTCAAGACAACATAGAGTGTTTCTCTTTAGTATAAATATTCGCAGTTAGCTTTACGCATTACTAGGTTGTATCTCTGAAGGACTACTGTGGGGCGCATCCATAGAACCCCACAGCTGTGTATAGCGAGCTGGCAGGCAGTACCTCTCATAATGAAACAACAACATAACAAACTAACAAGGGTTAAAGGAAATTACTTCTCTCAGTTTATTCTCTAAAATTGTTCTCTTCTGCAACCCCGCTAGAGCAGGTACTGCGGCCGTTGGGGCTGGGAGAGGAGACGGCGTAGCATGTTGCAATACCTTTTGCAGCAGGGCTCATGCCAGCCTCTCCTACAGTCATACCAATGAGCACTTCATAAAGAATGTTTAATGTATTCACCAATGTTATACTCAGTGTACATCCATAAGCGCTCACAGGCACTTCCACTGTCCATACAACCCTCACTCATTTCACAACGAGCACGGCATTGTTGCCGTGATTGTAGTGAGTATTCACTACAGTAGATGGCAATCTCCCTTGGTACCAGACGAAGCCTGGCGTCCGCAAGCAATACGACCCATTTTCGCTTCACACCGAAGCTTTGCACAAAATGCACGATAGTGCTTCAGCCGGTCATGGTCGGGCCAGTCTCGCTGTGGAGTTTGTTGCTATATCCTTTTGGCAGCTGCGGATGCCGGACTCAGCAGAGGAATATATCGTCACGTGTCCATACTTTCAGCAGCAAAAGTCACGGAACACTCTCAAATCAGGACTCCTGCAGGGTCATCTGATTTCTGAACGAATCTAGACAGGTACTTCATGGGTTCTATACTGGGCTTACCATTGGTCAGAGGGTGCGATAGTAATTATGGGATTGTGCGCAGACTCAGCAAGTGCGCCCGTCTCATCCTCTGCTCAAGCTTCTTTCCAACGGAAGGATTGGCACAGTTATTCATTAATATCTGGAAGCTCTGCTGCTTTCCTAAGAGCCTTATTACTGACACGGCCCCGAAACTCGTTTTCGCCTTCTGGCGCGAGCTCACTGGCTTGAGATAGACCGCTACTCTATACACAGCACAACTCGTCGACGTCGTTTGATCCCCTGCCTTGCGCAGAATGGGTTCGTAACACAACATCGCGCGATTCGACCCGTTGCTCCCCGGCATCGACGGTCTAAAGCGAAACACCGCTGCCTTGTTCGAACGTTGAATCTGGCCGTTATAAGGTGGCTCCGCAAGCTCTCACTCGCCGAGTTCCATACGCAGCATGCAGCAGTGCAGAAATGCATGAAGTACGAGGTGAGTGAAATCCACCTCCTCAAGAAAACGTACAAAAACTTTCCCCTTCTAAGAGTTGACACGCAAATGTATATATATAAACACCTATGGTCAGAATAGGCATCTGTAGGGCAGACACATCTAATGAATCAGCATCCAGGGTCTGTATGAGTAATGGCGCCAAGACATCTGAGTAGGAACTATGTAAGACAATTGCTACTCACTAACAAGAAGTTTGTGGGCAAACAAATCCTTTAAATCAGCTTACTAAGTTTGTAAGTAGCAATACTCCTACACTTCTGTGGGCAAACAAATATTCTCAATCGGCTTACTAAGTTGAAGTTCCCGGGGGAAAAGTTCTGACTCTGGTTGGACCCTTCGCCCGTATCGTCCCATTGGGGCCTACAGGGGCGGCTCCAGGCCTCTCTACCTAAGCCGCTGCAGCCAGTCGGCTGCGCCTACATCCCAGGTAGCATCGAGAACGTATACGGCTGTGTGCTGAGCTATGTAAACAATTCTATCAACATGCTTCTAAGTGGCACTACTGTGATCATTATTGAGGAGTGAGATTTATCATCTAAGTAGGGAAACTAAAGCACTACTTATATATAATAGATCTGCCCGATTGTACTGCCCCTGCAAGCTTACACGTCCGGTCTCGGTAACTGGAGAGTTGTCACAGGCCCCATGCAAAAATGCGAATCCAAACACCGAAGAAAGAGCCTAAAGAACATGACGAGGCATCACATTGAAGGGATCAGACGGTAGTAATATGTGATACTCATCTCGCCGCCAGTGGGCAACAACTGGGAGCCCCCTCTCGATGTTTTCAGCGTTGTCCGAGGTACAAGAGAGATAAAAGTTGGCATATATAAGCAAGAACCTGCAATAAGTGATGTATTACGAGTTGTTAGCGAATTATATTCGTCACAGACAAGACACCATAAGCGCGATTGCCAGCCAATGTTGGGGAAGCCGCTTGCCCACCGTACTGCTTTCCCCTCGCTCCCGGTTCTGTCGAGTGCTCCGTGCCTGTATGCAAGCATCATTACTTTTTAATAACTTCTTGCGCTGACCACCAACTCCGTTAATTTGATTTTGTTTTCCACGAATTTAGATCAGAAGATGTTGCGTTCCCTTGCGTTTGCTGCTGCTGCAGCGTACCTGACCATCTCGCAACCAGAGCTCACGATTGCTGCCGACCACCATCACCAGGGAATTTCATCCCCTCCCCCTTACGGGCATGGAGTTGCAGGTGGTGAAGGTGGTAAATCGCAACAGCACTTTCAACCAGAACGGGTGAAAGGAGCCCTGGTTCCAATCGCTAAAGGGTCTATGCTAGTGTTTCTCTCATTGCTGTCTATGGGGTTGATACGGCTGCTGGGGGGTGTTAATCGTCTTTCGTCCTTCCTCACTAGCTCCAAAGGAAGTAAAACGTCGGCCAAACGTGGATGGGAGAGGCCTGAGGGGGTTCCGACTGGTGGCGCTTCCAGTGGAGCCGCAGGGGGGTCTTCTCACCGTCCGCGGCTTGGGGATGGCACCAGAAGAATTCCTGATGGTATCGGCAAAGGGTGTGCACCACCGCCAGAAGGCGTAATAATTTACCATGCTCCCAATCCAGCGCATGCTCTGGGACCAGAAGAGGTGGCTGCAAAAATCAAGCACTTTGAGCAGCTGCTTCAGTACGCTAAGGAGTGCGAGTTATACGGATCTGACAGTACAGACCTTTCCCTTGGGCATCGGTTGCGTACGCTAATCCTCTTCGACAGAGAGACCAGATGCGCTGGATTTAGCGCTGATGTTCCTCTAGAACAGATTGCGAAGTTCAAGGAGCTCTTTGCAGAGAATGAAGCTACTATCAGACGCCATTTTAAGTGGGTTTACATCTGCACATGAGCACTCGTGTGAACTTAGCTCTGATTCACAGTGATTAACCCGTGACAGTCACCATCATCGCAAGCCGCATTTGCAGGTCATACTGCTAGGTAGAGTGTAGGCGCAGAAGTCGAATTTGGCGGACCAGCAAAATTAGCAGCATCCGGTCCTGTGTTGTGTTCGTTTGTACTTGTATGCAGGGGGGGCTGGTGAAGGGGAGGACTGTGATGTTACGGTTAAGAACGCTACATCCTCGTGTCGAGTCAGGAGTCGGCTAGTAGACGATGTGAGTGCTGGGCGTCTAGGTGGAGGCGGTAGAAGTACATGACTGCAAGGAGGCGACCAAGGGGGTGCGAGAGTGCTGGAGCAACAGCGTTACATATTTTTAAAGGGCGATTTGATTGGGAAGTGAGATGTAGCGCGGTGAGGCTGCCAGGGTCGCTTCAGTGTTTTAATGCTAGTTGAATTGCGTGTAGTTGACGGCCCATGTAGTGTTTGTGCCGGTCGGACGCTCCTCCCGCGGAGAGCTGCAGTTGGGCTGCTGTTGGGCGTGAGACCGGAAAATCTTGCTGCGAACTAGTTGAATGGCATTGCTTCCTTGTATTTTTTCCACAAGAGTGGGCTCTGAAAAACAGCAAGCAGCAATACAACTTTCCGTGCTTGTTAACCGTTGCACGTCTCCTTAATTTTTAACCCCAACACTTTGGAAGTTACTTCATAGGCACTTTTTCTTTACTGAACCAAGCCAACACCAGTACCAGCGCCAGCACCCGCACCAGCAGGTAGCAAGCATTTGAATCCACCCGAGTTATTTGTTACACGTAATGCGACGGGTTCACACCCGCACAACTGCGACTGAATGCTGTTACAAGCTTCTGGTTTCCTGGGTTGGCTCAGTGGTCCTTCGGATCTTGAGCTCTGGTTCGACTTTCCATAGTGAGCCAGGATGCAGAACGAGTTGGCTCTTTCAGATAGCAGCACTTGTTTGCCCAGAGACCTCTGGCGTAAAGTCTAAGACGAAGCTGGCCTGACTGCCACTGTTTTCAGTGCAGATGCAACGCACTTTAGACAATTATGCACATAAATATGAGCAAAATGTTGCAGTTGAGGCACTTTAGTATGTAAACGAGCATTAAGATCGGAGCGTCGATGAGGACGGGAAATATCAAGGCCCTGGGGTTCAGCAGGGGACCTCAGGGTTTGCCTAACGGATTTAGAAAGATAACCAAACTTTCAATTCACAAGTGTTCGGAAAACGACTGCTTTGTACATCGGTACCGGATATACGAAATTCAATCAATTCATTGCACGAGAGATTCACCAAAGGGATTATTTTGAATGAAGTCCTTTATCGCCTAATCAAGAGCATCGGCGTGACGATGATGATCACAGAAGTAGGGACAGCCCACAACTTTGGATGCAGGAGATATGTAAGACGAACTCGATTCACCATCTCTTCATAAAACAATTGTTAAGAGAATCCCGGATATGTATTTCACAGCTTCTGTAGGAGCTAATAAAGCCTCCATCTCCTGGGGAGCATAAACGAGAGCCCCTTATTCAGATGTTAATTTTGTTAAATATGCTATCTCTATCAATCCAGAAGAAAAACGCTGTAACCGAACAGCAGCAGCAGGAGGAGCAGCAGCACCAAAGGCACAAAACAGTTGTCTTCTGGTTGACGCTCACCTTCCTTCTGCTTGCAGATGTGGTGACGGCCTGATGCTGCATTGGGTTTAGTTTGCCTGTTCACGAATGAAAAGGAAGCAAATGTAATATATATATAATTACATATATACATATATATATATATATATATATATATATATATATATATATATATATATATATATAT